CAACTCTAAGTCCAGAAATAGACCCACACGTGTATGGACATGTGATTTTTATACAAAGGCACCAATATAATTCAATAAGGAATTCAATCTTTTTGACACATGGTGTTGGAATATGGAAAAAATGAATCTCAACCCCTACCTAATACTATACTCAAAAATTAATTCAAAGTAAATCATAAACCTAAACATAAAAGCTAAAACTATAAAACTTCTATAAAAACATAAAGGAAAGTTTTCATGACCTTGAGTTAAGGTTAAGATTCCCTGCACAAAGGGCATTAAGCATAAAGAAAAAATTCATAAATGAATGTCATCAACATTAAGTCTACTCTTCAAAAGACATTAAGAAAATGAAAGACAAAGATTAAGAAAAAGTATTTGCAATACATATATTGGACAAAGAACTTATATCTAGAATATATAAAGAAATCTTCTAATTTAGTAAGAAAACAACCTAGTTGTTTTAAATAAGCAAAACACTTTAATAGGCACTTCATGAAACATGTATGAATGACAAATAAGCACATGAAATGACGCTCAGCATCCTCAGTCATCAGGAATATGCAAATTAAAATCATAATGGGATATTACATACCTATTAGACTAAATTAAAAAAACAACACTAAGTATAATTAAGAATATGAAACAACTATTTGTAGAAATGCAAAATGGTATAATGACTTTAAAAATAGTTTGGAAGTTTCTTATAAAGTTAAACATGCACTTCCACATGACCCAGCAAACCTACGCTTACATATTTAACTCAAGTGAAATGAAAACTTATGTTTGTACGCAAATGTTTATAGTGGCTTTATTCATAATTGCCAAAAACTGAGGGGGGCAAAAACAAATATCCTTTACTTGATGAATGGATAAATTGTATCACATGTATTGTTCAGCAATAAAAAGGAACTACTAATACATGTGACAACCAACAGGTATGTATCTGAACTGCATTATGCCAGTAAAAGCAGCCAGATTCCAAAACTTACAGAATGTTTGATTCCATCAACATGACACTCTGGGAAAAGCAAAACCACAGGGACAGAAAACAGATCAGTGGTTTTCAGGGATATGAGGGAAGGATTGGATAAAAAGAGGCATAAGGAAATTTCTTGTGGTGATGGATTGTCATGGTGATTGCCCAAGTGCATGCATTTGTCAAAACTCAGAATGGTATACTAAAAAGGGTGATTTTTTTGTAAGTAAATTATACCTCAATTTTTAAAAACTCAACGAAATGTACAAACTACAGTTGCATACAACATAAGTGAATTCCAAAAACATAATATTGACAAAAGAATCAAAACATAATGTTTAGGTGATATAACTAAAATGAAGAGCAAAAAAATAAATTCCAGCCCTGGTGAGTTTGGCCTCAGGGGTTAGAGCGTCGGCCCGCAGACTGAAGGATCCCAGGTTTAAATGTGGTCAAGGGCAAGTATGTTGGTTACAGACCTTAATCCCTGGCCCCGGGTAGAGGCGAGTACAGGAGGCAACCAATCGATGTCTCTCTCTCTCTCCCCCTTCCACTCTCTCTGAAAAGCAATGGAAAAAATATCATAGAGAGGGAGGGAGTGAGAGGGAGAAAGGTCTACAAATTTAGGAGAGTGGTTAACTTTAAGGGGGTGTAAGAGGGTAGAAATTGGGAAAGGGCACAAGGGATGGGGCAGCTTCAAGTGTACTGGCACTGTTCTCCTTTTTTCAGGTGGTTACATGAGTGGTTATTTTGTGATACTTCATTGAGCTATCATTTATATTTTACATCCTTTTAAAAGAAAACAAGCTAAGAAACTCAGGGTAAATTATAAAAGAATAATATAAATATATATATATTTTTAGATGTATGCGGCATTTATATCTTGGCTATACCATTTATTAGATGTGTGACTTTAGACAGGTTTCTTAACCTTTCTTGGCCACAGTTTACTCATTTATAAAAAAAGAAAAAAGTACTCTGTTTTTTCTTGAGCAATGCCTAAGGAATTTCAATGTCTACATTTTGGAACACTAAAATGTGCCTGAATTTTCACAGCGATGACCTGGAGGCTATTTTCCCTACACAATAAAGACAAAAAACTGGTAATGTGAGTAATTCTGACATGGACTTACAAGAAGTTTCTAGAAAGGTCACTTCTTTCAGGAGGGCAGGCTATTTACTTGTCTGCATACTTATCAAAAGTCAACTCAGATGTAGAAGTTAGAATCAAATTACATAAGCCAAGATTATTACAATCAATCCACACTTTACCTCATTTGTTCTTGCAAATACAATAACACAATTAATAAGACATATGCAGAAACAAAGTGTTGTTACTAACTATATACTGTACCTTACTCAATTTCTAAGTTCCAGAAGACATATAAAAACAATTATTTCATATAGTTGCTTCAGTCGATTTATGTACTAAGTTACTCATCATTTCAGGTTTTAGTCTAGTATACTCTAGTACACAAAATATGAAATATAGTCTGAACAAATTAGTTCTGTTGCTTCCCTAATAAATGTAGAAAGTATTATTTTTTAAAGTATAACTGACAATTTAATAGCATCGACTGTATTTATATTTTTAAATTAAGATCTGAAAAAATACATAAATATTCTAGCCAATAATTCGCTTAATAAAATCACTTTCACAATATCTGATCTCTCACGAATATACTTTTCTCAAAACACTGATTGTCGTTCACATTTGCATACAAATAGCACCACATAAAAGATAACATTTGTAGCATCCATGCAGAAATTCCTGAAGCATGTTGGGAATTTAATTTTTCTAAATTAATTGCATATCCTATACCAGTATTCAATCATGAAACCATCTGTAAGCAATGTTCTAAGTAAATTTATTTATAAACACTAGAGGGTGCTCTAATTCAACAGTGCCTGGTGTCTGGCTTTGAGGCTTAAAATGATTTTCTCAATTAAAAATAAATTAAAATACTCTTTAGCACCACCTGTTTTTATATCCGAAATAGTACATGGAGATAATTTATGAGACAAAATTCCATTCTTCCAAAATATATAAAACAGTAGAATTCCACTGAAATCATTTTTTATTGTACAATATTATATACTTAATATTTTGTTAGGTGGGGAAAACAGAAAAAAGTACAGAAGAAATATAAATATGGTTCCTGCCTATAAAGGAAGTTAGTGCAGTGCTCATAAGGTTAAGAGAAGATATATCACCCAGCCGGAGTGGCCAGCAGTTGAGCAGGGGATCACAGTTCAGTTGATGCCCGGTCAGGGCACATACCCGGGCTGTGGGCTCAATCTCCAGTAGGGGGTGTGCACGAGGCAGCCGATCAATGACTTCCTCATCATTAATGTCTCTATCTCTCTCTCCCTCTCCCTTCCTCTCTATGAAATCAATAAAAATATATTTTTAAAAAAAGAGAAAGAGAAGATATATCATATCTTATAGACTCAAGTTCAAGGGAAATTACAAAATGAATTTGGTAAAAGACATACAGTGGCTCAATTTCAATTTTAGTTGCTAAGCATTAAGATACAGTTCAGCTATTTTACAAAGGTAATTTGAAAGTCAGTATTTAAACAGTAAATAAAAGTGTTATTATCTGCTGTTCTAAGAAAATATTTTTTAAAAACCAATAGCTCTAGAAAATTAAAAAAGAAAAAAATCATAGGCCTTGAATATCCAGAATAGAAAATAATTAATAATAACATCAATTTTAAATTTAAAAGATGCATTTTGTGCTAAATTTTAAATTTATTCCTAAAATGTTCATAAGCTCAGTTACAAATCTTTATTTCAAAAATCAGAGTTATTTACATGTTGTTGCCTACTGGAAACCCAAAAAAGTTTCCTGGAGTGTGAGATTCCAACAAACAGCAATAGACGATCACAAATAACAAAGTTCAATACCTAGTAAAATATGTATTTCAAGAAAATGGCTATTAACTGAGACACTATTTAATCCTAACAAAGTATTTTGCCTTTAAAAATGTTTATAGAGAAAAAAACAAACAGAACATTATAAATATTTCTAAAATTCACGTACCCAAAATCAACCTACTTCTCTCAGTCTCTCTCTCACATACACACACATACATACCTACACACGTGTATGAATGCAAACTCACTGCTCACTCACATACAATCCACTCCTCAAGAAGGGAGTACCTGGCTTATACCTCCCTCTTTCATTCCTTTACCAAGAGCCTCCAAAATAAATCCTAAACAGTGGCACCTGTTGATGGAGGATCGCTTCTAATTTACAATAGCCCCAGATAAATCGTTCCAGATTAAGAGAATACAGCACAGGGAAAAGCCAGAGATATAACTGAACCAGACTCACAGACCACCCAGGCTCTAGAAACCAAAATACATGGCACTCAGAGAACTAATCAGATTGCTGGAGCCCAAAGAAATTCTGAACATAGAAACACTGAGTTTGAAGTACTCTGTATTTGGCACCTGCATTCTTTTGGCGCTCACTTCCCCATTTTATGTTTATCTGCCTGCATCTGCCAGATTCCTAGGGCCCCTATTACACTCTGAATGCCCAGCTGCCAACTTCCCTATTCAATGTCACATCATTTAGCACCTTCTCCTTCAACTGGTGACAGCAGACACATTCATTAGAGATTAACGTTTTAAATGTTCACATACCTCACCTTACATGAAGGTCTTCTGAGCCACTGTATACACCTCCATCAACAAAAAAGTATGGCTGCGAGACAGCCAGTTACAGGGAACATTTTAGTCATTTTTATCAAGTCTCAAATCACGCTACTACAAACTTTGTATTTTGGAGTTACAGCATAATCCTAATTATGATCATAGCTTCTCACTGACAGTACAGCTTCTGCCCACAAATCTGAAAGCATAGGGCCTACATAAAATGAAAACTGGGTAGAAATGTGCAATTTTATTTACAAACACAAACTTTCATCTCTTATTTTTATGTTACATAAAAATTTATAAATTGTGAGATGAGAATATTCTATTCAAATAATAATTTAAGATGAATACCTGCTTTCCATGATTCCTAAATCTGGTTGCAAACTAATAGTCTCTGTTGTAATTTCCACTTTCCGTACGCTTCCGAAGAAATCGGTTATCAGGACATTTTTAGGATCCCTCTGAAAAAGATCAGTGCGATGTCCAGGAGTAGACACACACAGACTTTTCGGACATACCTGAAACTGAAAAAAATATGTATGAATAATAAATATACATGTGCCTACACACACATACAACTTTTATTAAATCCAATAATACTATATGGTAGAACGAAGTATATTTTTAAAGCTCTCCCAACCTAAAGATGCTACTGTTTCCAAAGATAAAAGTTTCATTGCTATCGTAGTGCTTGACATTCTAAAAAAGCTGCACAGACATAAGACAGGTGATAAAAAGGGAAGCATCCAGGGTGGGGGAAAAACACTAACCTTTTTGAATTATATGCTACAAAGTATATTTTAAACCCTCAAATGTAAGAGAAAGAACTCAAATGCAACACTATGACAAGAGAATTACTTTTTTTCTGCATCTATATCCATCTTGGTGGAGTGCTCTACCCAAGTGGTTTTTTTAAACATTTTGTAATCATGACCCTTCATTAAAACTTTAAACTCAAATAAAACATTACATGGCAGCCCAATATGTAAAAGAAGTTTAAAGTGGCGGTGCTCTGGATTGCAGGGAATTCAAGCGTAGCCTCCCCACTACGTATTCCCTTTGTTCTCCTGCTGTGAACCTAAGGAAACCTTTCCATAAATCAAGTAACTTGTTTAGTTTATTCACGATGAGAATAAACCCGCAGAGCCTCCCGACACCAGTGCTCCAAAGAATACAATCTAAAGACATGACTTCATCGCTACACAGATCTCATAATAATTTTTAAGTTAATCTTCTCCCTGATATCCCACATCAGCGAATCACCAAGGACAGACACACAGTCATTCACTCAGCAAAGTACAAAAAAAATACCTATTCCTACTGTTACCTTCACAGAAGATACAAAAATTGTTAAGACATGATCCTGTCCTCAGGCTTTAAGTCCAGTCAGAGATAAACAAACATAGCCAGGCAGAAAAAAAGGTGACAGGTTCTAATTCAGAGAAGAACAAGTTTCCAATAGTTTGGTAAGAAAAAGAGAGGGAGTGGTCTTTCAGCTGTTTTCTGAAGGAAAGGGAATATTAACAGATGGGATATTTTTTTTAAAAAAAAAAAGCATGCCTAATAAAGCTACAGATGCACAGACGTGCAAGGCAAATAACCTAGCTCGGGAGAAGCACAAGACACATGGAGAACACGTTACAGGCCTGCGGGTAGGGCCCAGGGCCCACAGCACTTCCCACCTGTGCAGACAGGACCATCCGACCAGGTCATCACAGCCTCGATGAGAGACCGGGGACCGGCAGAGCAGCTACACTTTATGAAGCAAGGGCTCCAAGCACTGTGCTAAGCAACCTGCACACATTCTCATTTAAGCTCACCAACAACTTTGAGGCACATAAAAATTATTACCTCTACTTCAAACTAAGGCTCAAAGAGATTAAGTCATTTGCCTACCATCACACTGCCTTCCCAACTCAGGAAAGCAATAAAAGGAAATACAAAGACGACCGCAGGATATAAATTAAGAAGCAAAGGAGGAAACAAAGTTGGGGGAAGTGCAAGAAAGTAAAATGCCAAACAAACAGGCCAGAACAGATGAAAGGCTGAAGAAACAAAGGAAAAGGTAAAATAAAGACTGAAGTCCTAGGCATACTGAAGGCGCCCCTGTGTGAGCAACTTGGAGGGGTCTATTAGGCACCAGGAGAGGAAAGTAGGAAAAGCACAGCCAAATGAGCTTGAAAAGTTACCACTTCCCAGAAAAAATTTAATCATTAATTCCACTGTATTCAAAAGAACCATATAAACGGGTATTGTCATCACGCCCTTCATTCATTCACTAAACATTCACTGAGCACCTACAATTACTATATATACACATATATAATAATGCATAGTAAAACCAGTTACTATATGTAATTAAACTCTGTGGGTAGTAAGATGTACAAAGCATGATGCTTATACCTCTTACTTAAGAAGCTCAAAGCCTCAAGGGAACATTACAATCATAAACAATTACACAGCAATATTAAAAGCATAATAAAGGTACACAGCAAGAGTTATATGTTCAGAAAGGAAAGAACTTGCCTAGAGGATCCAGAGACTTCACATAACAGATGATCCTCTATAAATGTGCTCCTCAATTGTTACCAATGACACTATACATTTTTAAGGGACTAAACAACAAGCCGTCTAATATTTCTGCTCCCGAAGCCCTTAATAAAGTACTCTGAATATAGCTGATACTCAACTAGTTTTACTCTATACACATAACCCAACAGAAAATAGGTATTACACAATATCTAGAGATACGTCAAATCACTACACTACTTAACTTCAAGGAAACAGATCATACTTACTAAACAGGATTATAATAATCATTCAATTAAAATTCAATTAAAGAACCGAGGTAGAACGACCAGATGAAATTAGAGAGGAATATTTATTATAAATTAAATATTATGCAGCAATAAAAAATAATGAAGTCTTGCCATTTGAGATAACATGGATAGACCTAGAGGGTAATATGCTAAGTGAAATAAGTTGGACAAAGACAAATACCATATGGTTTCACTTATACGTGGAATATAAAAATGTAAAACAAATGAATTAACAAACCAAAAAACACAAAAACAGACGCATAGAAACAGAGACCAAAGAGAGAGTTGCCAGAGGGGAGAGGGGGAGGGGAGG